ATTGTACAATATTATTCCTATTAAACCGTGCTTTATTTAATGCGATTCGGATTCCATAGTGTTCAAGGCTTTTTTGCTAAATATTTATGTTGATTCGTTAATTTAAATTTGCTCACTTCTTTTTTCGCCCAGATTTTATGAGCGAGAGTTTTGCAAATCAACCCAATTAGTACAACGCCCTTTTCAACGAAAAAAAAACTATGCCCCGAAAAAAATGTTGACAAACTTAAAAAAATCAACTGAGATGAATTAGGGGTCATTCCATCAGTGAGAATTACCAGTTTACAACCGAAGCGCTGGAAGGAAAAAAAGATGGGGCATTTTTCGCCAAATTCAATGTTGTGCCCGTTGCGCGGAGCTGAAAAACTGATAAATTCTTCGATCGATTAAATCGCCAAAAGTGATCAGCTCTCGCAAATATATATTACGCTCTGTGCAAAAAACGAAAGTTTCCTAGTAGTTGTGTGAGTTATATGTCCTGTTGCATGAGCTGTTAATAACGATTCTTTCCTCGTTCAAAGCAGCAGTAGGCGAGAAAAAGTGCTGAAAATCATAAAAATTGTGCGAGTCAGGGTCAAAATGAAAGTGTCCTTGCCACTTTTTGCCAGATTTACCTTCGAGATTTCGCTTCATCAGCGAGACGGAAGCGCCCTTGTAACCTAAACCGAGTGAAGCCTGCGACTCCAGAGCAAGTTTTCATGTGCATCAGGCGTTTTCGCGGACAGTAAGGGGAGCATTTTTAGGTTGGGCAGATTAACAGGCGGTTTGCGGTTACTTACAATCGCTTGTCTTCTACCCCGCGTGGACCCTTCAAGCCACTTTGGGCAGGAGCGAATGATGAATTACCGCGCTTGAGTTGTTGGTCACATTAGACAGCATTCGTTTCGGTGAAAATCATCGACCTTCCCTATGCTAGTATACGATGATAGTTGTATAACACGATAGAATTAGTCCCGATTTCGCGGTGAGGCTCACTCAACACGTTTGCCGAAGTTTCGTTTTACCTTCTTTCATTCTGAAGGTATTATGTTATATCACAACAGTACAAAACCTGGAGTGAGTTCGTTTCTATACACGTTTACATATCTCACTGCTACGAAATGCTCCGAGCCGCTGTATGATAGTACCACCAATAGAAGTAGCAGGTAAAAAGACCTTTTAAGGTCCCCAAGGGCGCGGACTGATGCTACTTATTCGAGAGCATAACTAGTCCTGTGGCTAACCCCAAGGGAATAGCTCTTCCTGCAAGCTGCCGCTAGTGAGTCATAAAGATTTCGGCCTGTGTCTTCGAACAACCTGTTCACTACTACTGCCTTTGGTGCGGCCGTGCCGAAGTTCTGCGCGTTTGCTTTCACCTCTCTTCGGTGAGGCCGCCTTCTAGGCAGCCCAATACCAGTCGTCGGGTGCTAGGTTTCCGTTTTCGACTTCCGTGGGGGACTCTCGATGACATCGACCCTCTCACAGTTTGCTCGTCGACTTTTGCAGAAAACACGTCGCTCATCATACGTCCGGAGACCCTTCCGTGAAGTGAAGCTTTGACGGAAACGATGACGGCACCGGCGCAAAGCCGGCAGATACACAATACTTGGAGTTTGGGCAAGTATGCACTGTGCAAGCGTTCAGCAGACGTTGTGAGGGGACCGGGTGGGCCCTTGAGGATGTTTAACGGCCGAACTCGCACGCGCATATACTGTAGGGGTAAAGAGGGGTCAGAAACGAACGGTCTCAGCAGACAGAGGAAAAGGTACATAGGAGCATGCTGAGCCGTGTCTTACTGGCCTTGCTTGGCGCAAGTCGAACCCATTAGAACGTAACTGTCCATATGTTTCTTGAGTTGGTAGCGCATTTACAGTAATAAAAAGCTATGTAGAAGTACGATAATAACAAAGCTGTAAAAATACGAATTTGTTACTGGGATACGTTGTGCATGGTCCCAGAGTGACTGAGAGATATCAGTAGGTTGAATCACATGTAAATGATTACAAATCGCAGTCTATAGTTCATATAGAAATATATCGTATTAGGGAAAAGGCTGACAATGTATTTACGTTGAGGTAAATATGTGATAGATGGACGGACATAGTTGATTGGTATAGTAATGTGAATCCGTCGGCTATTTGAACCAAAACAAATTGCCTGTAAAATAGAATCAAATATAGCCTAAAACTATGTTCACTATGCTAGCAACAAACAAAACTATATTAATCGTTTGTTTCATCCTCGTTGCTCTTTTCAGAATACGGAACGCTAAAGCATCTACACGACGGCGGAGTGCATCTTATGCTGGATACAAATGTGAGTCCCTTTCTATAATATTGGCCACATATCTTATGTCCTATCCCTGATTAACTCGTTCCGCCCTTTTGAAGACTGCTTTCCCCATAATCTTCCAGGACGTTTAATCAATGTGCGGTTGACGCACTACTAATCGGGGGTTTTCCCATCTCCTCCAAACATTTAACACACAATCCCAATTTCTGCCTTGCTTTAGATTCAGATGATTGGACACTGTATCATATCATGTTGTCATCGGCCAAAACAAGTTTAACGAGCTGTACCAAAGCAGTCCTGACGACCTTTTAGAGGGTGTTTAAAATAAAAGCCTAGGCTGTGTGTGTGTGTGTGGGCGTGTTTCATGACCTGTTTAGCGGTTTCAATTCAATCCAGCAAGTATGTTAGTAAACAACTCGTCAAATTTAAGAAAAAAGAATAGGCAAATTATGCAGAACTGATCATCATTGTTGGGTCTGGCTGCCATTTTAAATGTTTTTAAACACAGTAAGGCATTTGGTATGAATATTAGCAGGTAGAATTATTAAAACAGTTTAGAAAACCTATGGTGCCGTTATATGGAAAAAAACAATGCTAAAATTATGCGCTACCTTACTCCAAATTATGCTTTATTTTCAACTGCAAAGTTAGCAAAAAACCATTAGGTGTTTGCGTTTAGGCGGCCTTCGCCTTCTCTTTGACGACTGTAGGAACATTTGTTTCGTATTTGGTTTACAATGTTAGCGCCGCGTGGAATATATTTTGTACAAAACCTCATTTGGAACTAAATGCATTGTCACTAGCTCTTCCGTAACCATAAGTCCGAGGTAGCAGGTCCGACGTTAACTAGAGGTCCGTGTCCTTGAGAGAAACACTGTGTTATTAATCGCAGGTGGGCTAGGGGAATTTCTTCATCTATTCTCTCATGTATGCCCTGTATTGTACTGTGGTCCGGTCATTGCTGACTTCGTATCTGCTTATATGGCGATTGTGTTCAAGTCCACATATCCCAGCTAGTCGCAGAGCCGGCCAGCAGGATTACGGGTCAGTGGCTTGACGGGACGGGTGCTTCCATCGCCGAGTAGTTCCATTGCAGTCACGATAAGAAACGTAGGGGCTTTGATCCGTCACACTTCTTATATCTTCCCCAGCTTTTCGCTCGCGGAGCGACGGCTTGTCTTGTTTATTTATTTTTTTTTTTTGCTAGTGTTGCCTTTAATCTGCTTCTCTGACGGCGCCACGAAAAGCTGAAACCAGGCAACAATAAGATTACCTGATGGCGGTCTATAGAATCTGCAAGAAAAAACCTGGAGATCACCAGGGAACAACCTGTCTGAGAAGTGACGAACCAAACCATCTTCTTCCAGACGCCACAAAGCGATCCGGTATAACCGTATGATACCTTCCCTGCTGTAGTGACCAGTGCAGTCCAAGCATCAGCGCCCAGATGAGAGCATACCTATTTAAAGGAGCTCCCAAAAAGCAATCGCCCTCCTCGAGCTTCTGAAAGGTCAACCGTGTAGTTAGGTCAACCGTGTAGTTTTCCCTTCAATCTAGGATAAGCTACTAGTCAGCTAGCGACAAAGAACAGAATCTTACTTCCATTACAACGGCGGATTTTTTGTAAGGCAGTTAAAAATGTAAGTTTGACAGTTTTCCCGTTAGATTGATTTATAGCTTTCCAGAAAATAAAAATTTAGCAAACCAGTCTGCGTTGCCACGCATCTAAGGTCGAATTGACAACCTTCAATTTTCTGTGATACATAGTTCTGAAAGACTTGTTCATAATAACATTTTATGGCTTGCCATATCGTTCCACAACTTACTTAGTTAGTAACCAAAATAGTTCGGACTTCGGTTGGCCCGGACAATTCGGCCAGCGCCAGGACGTGCTTAGTAGTATTTCATTTCTTTTAGCCCCAATTCGAGTGGTAACCGCGCATTAGATCAAAATAAATGTGCATCATGTAGTACGGCGTGCAGCAGTCAACGTGACGACTTTATACGCTTAGCAGTTTGTCCACAGAGGCTCGCGCAGTAGCAGAGGTCACGTGTTTAGGGAGGGGGAAGGAAGTAAAGGGCGCGGGTCGCCGGGTCCATTGCTTCGACCTCGTTGTCTCGTTATGACATTGGCCATGCGAAACCCCCTGATAACTTCCTCTTGCCAAAGCACATTCTCACCCACAGTACTCATTTCAGAATCCCTTGGAACGTCTGCTGCAGATGACAGTTGAATCGAAGTCGTTTTCAAATGGCATAGAAGTTTATTTCCTCTATATACCATACTCACATCTTTCTATTTTGGAGGATTTTTACACGCCGTGTCCCCAACCTCACGATTCCGCTTCGCTTCAACGGACTGCACGTACGCGAGATCGTTAAATTTTACCTGCTGAAACGTTCATTTCGACCGAGCCCCAGATACAGATCGTGGGAGAATTTGCGAAAAATATCGAGGTGAAGTGGCAGCCATGTCGGAAATAAGGGGATAAGATATTTGCTGCCTCGAGGTAAGCCACATGGGGGTGGTCTCGTTGAGTCCTCGCGATTTCCGATCCATCCATAGTTATCAATAGCGGAGATCCTTTCGGTCCTCGTCGCGGTCCTAGGTGTGATTTTATGGCCTGACTCTGCCGTGCAAGCTCGAACGAACCTGAATCGAAAGCAGCATCGGCTTACGGCAAAGGCAGCAACAGCACGTGTATATTCAAGAAAATAATCTCGAAGGCGGGAAAAAGAGTTGTAAGACGCAGTCAACCCGTTACCTATACAACGTCTAAGCAAGCCGTATAGCTATCATTCGCGTTGGATTCGGTGTTTTGAACGGATACGAGGTCATCAGGCAGCTTCAGGACAGACATTTGGATTGACTGCGCTCATGAAGTCATACTCAGGCCCGATTTGCGGAGCATGTTACTGAGAAACTAAGAAGCCCGAAGTATTTGAGGTGGGCTATGCTTTTTGAGGGGTAGCAGAGTTGTACTGCGTGATTGCATGGGATAGTTAGAGAGAATAAGGAGTAGAAAATAGTGCAAGGCCAAAGCAGCTATAAAGAGGTCTCATGCCTTTGTTTAGAGCAAATATTACATAAGTGATGGAAGGACAGAGCACATTATGGAGTAGTTTACATGCAGTTAATGAACTGTTTTTTCAAGTGCATCGCTTTTATTTCGCTGCATTTTATAAATGTATTGTTAATCACTTTTGTGAGATTCAAGATAGTGACACTACCATTGCTAGGCGTAATAAATATATCATATATATATATACGATGTTGTGAAGCAGACGATGCGCTGAAAAACAGGCTATAGCGACCATTACATTAAGTTTGATGAAGACAAGTTCTGTTGATTTTTGTATCTGTATACAATCCTTCTATTATGCACCCAGGGGTCAGCAAGTGTAATATTTGTTGTTATGGCTCATCGATGGAGCCAAAGTATCACTATGGTGAAATATTCGGGATATCCGGGGCGAATCGACCCGCAGGATCCTATGCAACAGGTGAAGATGAATTTCGGACAAAGCATTTACGAGGCTAAGGCCACTTTTTTTGTTTGGATATTGACCCCGTATGTTTTCAGCAGTTCGTAAAAGATTTAAGCTGTGCTGTCTGCCAACTATGGATAATAGATAGCATTTAATTATATATTCGCTGGTGTCACACCTAGCTCATTATTTTAATCTTGTGTCTTTGTGTTTGCGGGTGTTTGTGTACCTGGGCAATGCCCACAGAGATGACGTCAGAGCTAAGGCTTATGCGTCCATTCATGATTCTCTTCATTTATGTAACGTCTGTTCATAGGCCGTTTCGCAAGATTTTTTTTTTTTTCAGGTTTACTCGGAAAGTCGGGTTTACGGGATTACGTTACGATGTGAAAAATTTATCGAAAAATTTGATTTTTCGGAAATTAGGATAAATTATTTTAGAGTTACTTATGAAACTAACATTTCTGTCAACTTTCTCACTAACTTACTTCGTACTACTTAACCTCGGTAATACAGTATATCATGTACTGTGCTCACATGAAATGCTGGCTCGGGCAACAGGATGCCATTTAAATGACGATTAAATCTTGACTTCAGCGTAGGAGTGAAACGAGCTTCTACCTCGGTGCTACAAGAAACCTGTGGTACGTGAACGAAAAGACGCGATCACGCTCCGCCATATTTTAATGCAGCATACACAAACTCTGATATACGTATGGATGATACGTGCTACAAAAAAATCACGTAAGAAAAAGAGGTAGTGTCTGGATACAGTTGCCGGCCAGCTGGTGCATGGCCAAGTTCGACTGTCATTTAACTACACTTCTTTTATAACGCCACCTAGTATCTTAATATTTTCCATTGCGGGGACATCTCTATTATCTCTGGTATCAGGCAGCGTAGGAAGGTGTCTCTGTTACTGTGCGAGGTAATCTAGAATACATCGTTTAGGATGGTACGGAATTTGATGTCACCGTAGTAAAACAATCGGAGCTTTACAACTGGAGCCATACTGACCGAACATACAAGGGATCCGCATGTTCCTTTATTTTTAGTATCTACTAAATGACTACTAGTGAAAATCTACAAAATGCGCTTATGGAGTATAATTCTAATTTAATTTCAGCCGTCACCAACCAACTTGATTGATACGCAGGCAATAGATCGGACTGGTAGTAAACACGAAGAAAAGTAACGACGCCAAGTTGGAAAACGTGTTAAGCAATGAAATATTAAGCAACAAATGTCTACTTGCAATGACGATGCCCTTTTAAGATGAAACTGTGTACCATGTATGCTTTTATAGGCACCTAGTAAACATTTCAGTTTAAGTATAGAAAAAAAGGCCTGTTGGGGCCTGACCAATTTGCCAATGAATTTTTGCCAACCGAATCTTTGCATCTCTAACGAAGATTTAATTATTTCTTTGCTCTGAGACAATTCGAACACTAAGCTACAAGTTCGTTAAATAAATTAATCTAAAGGGGCCGTTCATCTTGTTTGTGCATATACACAGATAACGAGTGTTCATCGTC